TTATTTTTTTATAAATGCATTTAATTTGAATGGTAAAATATATTTTTGCATTATTTGGTAATATTATGTAATTATTAAATAAAGTAAATCTGTTTTCTTTATATTTAAAGGATATTCTTTTTACATGATATACGGACTGATCTCGGTCCGTATATACGTATACGGACCGTGATCGGTCCGTATATTCCCTAAACTACAGCTTTTTCAATTTTTTTTCCTACGTTATATTTCATGAATTTTAAAATTTTTCATGTATAATATAATTAAACTTTTACATATTTTAAGTCATTATTTTAAGTCATTATTTTAAGTCATTATTCTAAACATATTTTATTTTTTTATAAATGCATTTAATTTGAATGGTAAAATATATTTTTGCATTATTTGGTAATATTATGTAATTATTAAATAAAGTAAATCTGTTGTCTTTATCTTTAATGGATATTTTTTTACATGATATACGGACCGATCCCGGTCCGTTTATATGTATATGGACTGGTATCGGTCCGTATATAGATAGACGGACCGAAGACGGTCCGTATATTCCCTAAACTGCAGCTTTTTCATTTTTTTTTCCTACATTATATTTCGTGAATTTTAAAATTTTTCATGTATAATATAATTAAACTTTTACATATTTTGAGTCATTATTTTAAGTAATTATTCTAAACATATTTTATTTTTTTATAAATGCATTTAATTTGAATGGTAAAATATATTTTTGCATTATTTGGTAATATTATATAATTATTAAATAAAATAAATTTGTTTTCTTTATCCTCCATTGCTTATTGTCTGTAGATAATATATACGGACCGATATCGGTCCGTATATATATATACAGACCGGTATCGGTCCGTATATTACCTCACCAGGAGCTTCCCCTTCCCCTCCTTGGTTACATTTCATGAATTGTAAATTTTTTTCGGTATATACGGCCTTATATTCGGACCGATACCGATCTGTATATATATATACAGACCGGGATCGGTTCGTATATGCCCCTAAACAACAGCTTTTTATTTTATTTTTTATTTCATTATTAAATCGTTCTACTCTCATTTAAAACCGTAACATTCCGAATGTTTGCAAACCAAAGTGGTTAACCTAAATAAAAATAATTAATTTTATTTGCTTATGGCTCCGAAAGAGCATTACGTAACGTTATCTCTAATAACCTTTAACTTATACGTTCGTGGTTTTGCAACGATATTACTCCGTAGTATCGTAAGATAATTTCAGCTAGACAATCGATGGTTTTTTGGTTCCAAGGGGCTGTAGGGTCGATGTACATGCAATTGGTTTTCGCAGGAATGGATTTAGAACACGAGAAGATGGTAATGTCCTTAAATGAAAAGAATAAAAATGTGCACTGGAAGAAGTTTTTGGATTTTTTCTACTATATTCGGACCAAAATCGGTCTGAAAAATGAAAAGCACGGAAGCTTCTGCATTCTTTGAATATATTCAGACCAATACCGGTTCGTATATATTCATACTTAATTTAATTTAGCTTTAAGATAAAAAAATCCCTCGGATTGCCTATATTCGGACTGATATCGGTTCGTATATCTCTATACAGACCAGGATCGGTCCGTATATTCCAATGAACAACAGCTTTTTACTTTTTTTGTTATTTCATACTTAAGTTGTTCTACTCTTGTTTTAAACCGTAACATTCCGAATGTTTGCAAGCCAAAGTGGTTAGCCTTAAGAAAAAAAAATGAATTTTATTTGCTTATTACTATGAAAGAGCATTACGTAACGTTATCTCTAATAACCTTTAACTTATACGTTCGTGGTTTTGCAACGATATTACTCCATAGTATCGTAAGATAATTTTAGCTAGACAATCGATGGTTTTGTGGTTCCAAGGGACTGTAGGGTCGATGTACATGCAATTGGTTTTCGCAGGAATAGATTTAGAACACGAGAAGATGGTAATGTCCTTAAATGAAAAGAATAAAAATGTGGCCTGTGAATTTTTTACGAATATATCCGGACCGAAATCGGTCCGTAATTAATTTATGTGCCAAATTTTTACCGTTAATTTGAATCTTATTGATTCTGCGCTAATTTATTTATATTCAAACCGATTTCAGTCTGAATATGATTAATGCGCCAAAAATTTTCGCAAAAAAAATTGAAATTTTTTCGAAAAAATTGAAATTTTTTTGTGTGGCGCGCCAATGAGGATTATACGGACCGATTTCGGTCCGTATAAGTCTTATATATATCACCACTTCTCTTCCGTTTCCTCATTTTCTCTTCTTCCTCTCTTTCTTTTCCTTTCTTCCTCTCTTTCTGCCTCCCGTCTCCTTCTTCTTTTTCTTCCTTTTTTTTTTCTACTTCCCTTCTGCCTCACTTTCTTTCCTTTGTGCCTCTCTTCTTTTCTCTCTTCCCTTTTCTTTCTCATTTCCTTCTATGTCATTTTCTTTCCTCTTTTTTTTCTCTCCACTTCTTCATCTTTTCTTTCCTGTTTTTTTTTTTTCAGTTTTCTCAAATGTATTTTTTAAAAATTTTTGTTGTCTTTTTTGTATTGGTTTATTTTTATTTTTTT